CATAAATTTGTACTATATCAAATTAAGGCTAATAAAAACCAACTGGCATTGTCACCAAAGTTCAAAAAAAAAAAAAATAATAATTAAGTATAATTAACAAAAATTTAAATAGTCAACATATAAAAACTCTTTCTCTGATCTTTAATTTTGTAAAGTCATAAATCGATACACTTTAGTTTGCTTCAAAGTTAATTAAATAAATAGGTCTAGTGTCATTAAGAAAAAAAAAGGCAACACAAAAACAGTTATAGTTTAATAGAACAATTTCTAGAAAAAGCTGCTTGATCAAAATATAAAAAGCTTGTTCAAAAATTTTTAGAAAATTTTTAGAAAATTTTAAACTTAGCTATAACTCTGTAATACTAATTGATCAATATATAAACAAAGTACAAAATAAACAATCACGTAAATTTAGTAAACAAACAAGCAAACAAAGTAGCATGTATCTAATTAGGCAATAAGCATAAAATATGACTGACTAAATAAGGCATAAGCAATAAGAATAAGTACAGTCGACTTCCGCAATAGTCACACTATAAAATCTGGCAATTCATGTGACTATAGTGAGAGTGTGACTAATATAAAACAACTATAAAAAACTATTTATTTTATAATTAGAATCAAATAAATAGCCTATAGATTCTAATAATAAAATTTTATAATGAATAAAGATTAGGAGTTGTAGCAATTGTATTCAAGTTGAAATTGCTGTTATGTGACTTAGTAATTTATCTATATATCTGAGTAATTTAATAATAAACAGGTTGAGGTTTTCCCAATAAGTACAATCTCTAAAGGGTTGGGTTTTATAGTAAAGTTTTATGCTATTTATGAATTTCAGTTTTGCTATTTGACTTTATGCAATTTTGCTATTAGTAACCAATCAAATTTTTATAATAGCATGTAACATAATAATAAGAAATAAAGGTGTAACGTAATAATAAGAAATAAAGGTTGCTTTTTGCATTTTATAAAAAAATTCTTTTAAGCAATGTTTGATCTTAATTTTAAACTTAAGACTTCTGAATAAGTAGCTCTGAGCGAAGTAGAAATAGCATAATGATAATGAAGAAACATGGTTTAAAAAAAGGTGATATGAAGAACTACTTGCAAATTTAAAATTGCATTATTAGAAAACTACTCATAGATCTAAATAACTACTATGTAGCCAAATTACAGATTGCTTTAACCCAAATAACTTAATATTAATTTATAATAAAATAGAAGAATTTAATAGGATTACTTACCACTATGATCAGGATTAATCTGTCGCTATGATCAAATAGATTTTAATTAAATTAGTCTATGACTAAATGAATTGAAACTTTTTTTATTTAGTCACAGCTATTTTTAGTTACTTACTGTTTTTTTCTAATATTTCTAGATTCATTTGGAGGTTAAAAAATCTTCAAGTGTACCTTGTTTTATCAATCTTGTAGAAGCTCTATGGGTTCATAAAAGAAAGTCATGAAAAAAAGTTTTATCAGTTTCTTTGATAAAGCTATTAGGCTGCAGAGATTGTTGGTGAATAAACTTGAAGAATAAATTGATGTTTTTTTTGACTTCAGTAAAGGTAATCCTAGGTTCTTCTTCTTCTACTGGGTTATCATTATTTTCTTTAACATCTGAATTACTAATTAATTCTATAATTCAGTTATCATCTATCACCTTCTCAGTAGCAATAAATTCATCATTATCAAGATAATCCTGTGCAAGTTATTGGATATTAGAGCTATCAGTTAGGTTAATTATTTCTTGGGTCTCACATTGTGCAGTAACAATTTCAGAAATATGAACTTCTTGAATCGCTAAGTCTTCATTAGCTGCTAACTTTACTTCTGAAAAAATTTCAGCGAGATGCCTAGAGGGCAATATTCTGGTATGGTGCCAGCAATTTATAATAGTCTCCTTACTTATTTCATCCCACGCACTTTTTACTAGTCTCATTGCCTGAAGGACATCAATTTTTTCTGGTTCTTCAACACTTTCATCAAAATCATTAATCACTTGACGTATATAAAGGCGTTTATAATGAGCTTTGAATGCATTGATAATGCCAGCATCTATTGGCTGCAAGTGCGCAGTAGTATTGGCAAGGAGAAAATGTAAACAAATATTTGGATACTCTTCAGAATTGTCGATAGCATGTGAGGTAGCATTGTCAACAAGCAGTAAAATTTTTCTTTCTTGAATTCTAAACCTATTTTGGAGACTGCCAAGAAATTTCTAATAATAATAATAATAGAAATAATAATAGTAAGTAATTTAATATCATAGCTGAAGCTAGAAATTAAAGACCTCAATTTAAAAATATAAACCTTGCCAAAATCTACTTATACTCTTTTGTTACTCAAACTAACTTTAAACTCTAGCATAAAAATTTTTGAAAATTTTATATTAAAATAATTAAAATTTCTAGCTTCAGCTATGATATTTAACTGATATATATTAATAACTTAAAAGCTTTTTTAAGAACATAAAATTAATTTAAATATTAATAGTAAGTAATTTGATATAAATTTAATTAAACAATTATATAAATCTTAAATATGTTCTGATGCATCCATGCCTTTTCATTATAATGATAATCAACAGGTAGTTGATTGTAGGAAGTAATACGTGCTTCATGAAATGCATTTGGCATTTTAGATTTATTGATTACTAAGGGAGTAATTTTTTCTGTTCCACTCATATTAGCTGTACACAGAATAGTAATTCTTGTTTTGTCCTTTTTTTTACTCTTTCGTGCAACTGTTGAAAGAGAAAAACTAGGATCTATACGGTAATATAAACTGCATTCATCAGTATTGAAAATATTATATGATTCATAACCTTTCAAAATATTTTGAAGCTCTTCTCGAAATTGTGGAAGAAGATCAATAGGAGCACTTTCTGACTCTCCATGAATATGATGATTTCGAAGACCTATTCTAACTTTAAATCATGTAAGCCATCCTTGAGATGCCTTAAATTCATTCTCTGAAACATTTAATAATTTTGCAAATTGAAGGGTCTTTTGACAAATTACATCACCAGTAAGTGTGAGCTGTTGCTGTTCAGCAGTACTAACCCACATTTCAAGAGCTTTTTCAACTTGAGGAAATTTAGGGCCAACTATTTTAAGCACATTTGAATTCAGTGAAATTTCCTTTACATCAAACCATTGCTTTTGTTTAAGTATTTATGATACTGTGCTTCTGTCACAATTAAACTCCATAGCAATTTCTTCATCTAGCAAGCTAGGGTTTGCTTTTTTTTTTTCTTGAATTCTTTTTTTTGTATAGCTGTAAGTCTAGTACGCTTTTTGGTTTTATTTTTATTATTTTTAAACATACTGTTATTAATCCAAAGAAAAAAAATAATTATAATTTGACAAAAATATTTGAACTAATGCTTAAGAAATTCTTATAATTTTTATTAATGTTTAAATTTAAATACATTTTTTTTTTAACAAGTTTCTATCTTTTATCTAATCTATCCTTTAATCAATAAATAATTTAATGTAATGAAAAGTATTCTATTCTATTTTGCTTTTTTTGATAAAGTATTTAATTTTCTTTTACTAATAAACTTAAATGGCTTATAGATTTCAACTTTTATTTTAATATGTATCAACATAATTGGAACCAGGTTTTTTCTATTTTAATTTTATGGATTGCCATTTACTCTATTTTAATTTATGTACTTTTTTAGTTAGCATCTTTGAGCATATTGGCAGAGGTACTATTTAGATAATGAATCTTATTCTTATTAGTAGAGTTATAGTTTGTCTTTAAATTACAGTTAATAGAAGCATTCAAATTGATAACAGTCTAGTAAGAATCAAGGAATAGCATTCTTATTTAACTAATTAGATACAGATAATCTCATATTGTATAACAAATTTACTGCATACTAACTTTATATATGAGTCAGTAGTTTACAATAACATTGTAACTAAGCTAATTGTGTAAATTACTATCGCAATCACTATGTATTAATATATTGAATTATTTATTTTTTTGAATTTGCATTATAATTTTTAAATTTTTAGATTGCACAAGTAGTGATGTGATTATAGCGAGTAATTTTTTACAATATTAGTATAAGTTTTATATATGAAGTTAATGTGATAGTGATTATTATGAAATCTAATATTATATGTGACTATTAAGAGAAAATTTTATTAGAAAATTTTTGAATCTGTAACTTTATGTGACTATAGTGTGATTGTGACTAATGTGAGTGTGACTATTGTGAGAGTTGACTGTACAAAGAATCTAAGAGTAGAAAACATCCCATGGGCCTTGCCAATTGGTACATACAAACTAGCAAGAGTATCCAAAGGCAACAAAGACTACAATCTATGAGACAACATAGTCTATACACATCCAAACTGCTAGAGCTTCCAGGAAATGCATCTGAAGTACTGCTACTACAGTGCTTAAGGAAGAGAGGTGCTAAGTCAGTATACATACTAACAAACAGAAATGAAACCAAAGAAGATCTGCAATAGTTACCTTTACATCAGAGAAGGAGATGAAGACAGCACAAACCAAGCCAATAAGATTTAACAATCACTTATTATTTTGGCAAGATGAAACAAAGAAGAGGAAGCAGAATGAAGAAGAAGAAGAATTTTATGAGAAGCACATAATTGCATATAATGTAAACATAAAACTAGATGCAGAAGTGTATGAAAACAAGAGTAACAGAGAGGAAAAAGATACAGAAGAGTATAACGAAAATAAAAAGAAGCATCACATATACTTAACAAGAAAAGAAAACTCTCAGGCATGAAGCCAAGATCTTTTGGAAAAAATTCTTGAGAGACTAAAGAGACTTGAAGAACAACAAAACAAAACAAGATGGAAGATAGAGGAAGACCTTTCTAACCACTCCTAATGGTGCCACAGTTGAATTAATGAGTATAGACCAGGAGATTGGAGAGTTTCTATATAGTAAAAAAAGAATCTTTGAAGAAAGAAATATGAACACATCTCTTGGCTACAATAGAAAAACAAGAAAAAAAGGAAAAGAAAAGATGAAAAACACAGAAACAAAGCATAAACATCTTAAAGAAAAATGAAAACAAGGGAAAAAAGAGGTTAAAATTGCATGCCACAATATCAACAGGCTGAAAACAAGAGAATGGAAAATAGAAAACCTTCTAGAATAGGCAGAGACAGAAGAACTCACAATAATAGAAATTACAGAAACGAACATTACAGAAAAAAAAGTGAAATTTTTATTGCATAGGTATAACACACAGTATAAGGGATACTGGACTAGTGCAATAATAGACAAGAAAAAGGGCTCAGGTGTAGGAATTCTAATAGACAAAAAGTGAAAAAAGCATATAGGAGCAGTTAAAAGATTTAGTGAATACATGCTAGAGGTAAGATTATTCTTTAAACAATTAGAACTAGTGGTACTAGGAGTATATATCCTACCAAATGACAAGTCAATCAACAAGAA